AGACCAGTGCACAAAGAATATTTCTTATATACTCAATTAAATAGATCAACATACATATGGAATATTATCATGATGTGCAGAAAGAGAGAAAGATGTTTACTTGCATCCTGTTGACGATTTGCATCTGGTTGGTAATGTTCGAGTGATAATGACCGCAGCTGATCTAAATATTTGCTCACATAATTAGTAGCTCGAAAACTTGCAGAGATTTTGTAAGGAATAACACCCGTACTTCCTTCTTTGTCAAAGAACGCGTATGAGGATTTACGTTTGTTGAAGGAACAAAAGATACTCTCTCCACTCTCTCCTTTATAAACCTTAACCTGAAAAAGGAATGCTCCCAAAATTTTAAATTTTAAAAACTAAAATTAGAGAATGCAAAGCAATTTACATATAATCATTTTCATACAAACATGTGACATCCTTCATTATGGAATGTGGCATAACTTTATGTATTAAAATTATGGTTCTAAAAATGGATGGTGATAAGAGAAAACCATGTGGAATCAATTATTCTGAATGCTTAAAACTTGATGGTAAACCATCAAATTAAGATAACGATACACATTTGCATCCTTTGTGAAAATAACAACAAGAATGCTACTAATAATGAATAACTGCAGAAAAAGGATTTTCATACAAGTCAAGCAGAAAGTAGGGTGAATTTCTCAGGAAATTAGACTGTGATGATCAGCAGTTGTGAGAATTTAAGGAGGATTTCCACCAACTAGCCTCTTTTTATAGTTTGGTTTCAATGGCAAGTAGCTTATGTTCCCTAACTTCTGATCCTCAAAGGAACTTTCCACCAACTAGGTTCTCGACTTTAGATCCTCTCAAATCCTTTCAAAACCCTGGATCTATTACTACGTCCTTTGCTCAAAACCAAGCATCTTAAGGTTTCATTGAAGATCCTTAAATTTCAGAAAGAAGATATAGTGATTGTCCCCATTAAGACCCTTAAATTTCAGTTTTTTACTCAAATTCCACAATAAAATCTATCCTGACATGAGGCAGTAGAAGTTCTCACTCCAAAACATAAAATCTCTAGTGAAAAGATTGTGTTTCATTACATTCAAGGTCTTTTCCTAATCAACCTGCATTAAGCCTTTTGAGATTGTTATCTGATACTGCCTTAATTGAGCCTTAGATTCTCTCTACTGTTGACATGCTATGTAGTTTCCACATCTACATTTGATTAATCACGTTTCATCCCTACATTAAGCTTCGATATGCTATACCATCTTGCATCTCAAAATGAACCAATAAATCTCCATGAGATAAAGCCATTCTAGATCCTACAGGTCCCAGTTCCCAACAAGCTCAACTCACTAGAAATTGATTAAAATTTATAAGTTGACCAAACTAAACTGTAATATTTCCCAAAGTATTTTTGTAAGAACAAAGAATACCTCCACGTTATGAAGGCAAATTATGTCTCCCACAGAGTGAATGCGTGGCAAATCTGCCACGGTCGGAGCAAAAATAGTGATAGACACTCCAAATTGACAAGAACCGTCAGCAAGCTTGAAGCCGATGTAATAATCTGTGGAGGAGCATCCGATTGCCAAATTAATAGAAATATGATCATTAAAGGGAATAATTATCCAAGTAAACACTGATCATAGAATAAATAAACTATTGAATGAATGTAACGTTCTTATTACCAGTCAGTTTCTTGTATGTGATGGTTTGACTGACTACTACACAATAAACCAAATAACTCAGATGCAGTCAAGGATCAAAACTCTAAAAAAATTAACTTTAAGATAACAAAGGTTAAAAACCTAAGATGCTAGATGTAAGCTAAGGTGACAAGCATTTAGGAAACTTCCTCATAGAGAGATCTCAACATTTTCCAAATGCTTAGAATCTCAGATCTTCACTTTAAAATGTATGTTACATAAAACCACAAAGCAAAGATTGAATTTATCACAAATCCCAAATAGCTAAACATTGGTATAGAAAAAAGGACAAATTTTGAAAACCAACCTATTTCCAAACTTACTCATCAAAAACGACTTATTTGAAACTTATTTGCCAAAAGCAACCCAGTTTCAGCTATCGTTTTTGGTGAAAAAAAATATCAAACTTCACGGTACTTCAAGCCCCATAAAGTTTCTTACGTAACAAAACTTCACGGGGCTTCAATGAAGTCCCGTGAAGTTTGGTATTTTTTTTTTTGCCAAAAACGACCCAGTTTTAGCTAGTTACCTGAAACTGGGTTGTTTTTGGCAAATAAGTTTCAAAGAGGTTGTTTGTTATAACTATTTTTGGAAATGGGTTAGCTTTTCAAAATTTGTCCAAAAAAAATCCTAAAATTTTAAAAATCTGATTATCTCGCCTAAACAACTGAAGAAATGAAGAACTATTCCCCCAACTAACTATGAGCACACTTCTCCTCACAATCACGTCATAAAGATCTGACCTTTCAAAAAACCCCAAAACAGAACAAAGATCTACACCTAAAAAAACAAACCTTTATTTCTAAACTCAACTAAAAACCCAATTTTACAGCCCCAGCGCTCAAATTTATGTTGTTTAGACCAAAATTCTACAGCTTGATGTACTCGAGAACTAGGGTTAACTTAAAAGATCAAATTTTGGGGCAACCCAAAGGTCCCCAACTCAAAAAAAAAAAAAAAAAAACATAAATTAGGGTTTCAAAGTAAGAAGAGAAGGTACCAGTTCCTATGCCCTTGGTCATTCTCGGAATCCCAGCCTCGGCTATCTTCGCAAACAAATTAATTGCAACTCTAGAGCCTTCTCTCATCTTCTTGATCTCCGAAATCGGAGTATACGGGCTCAGACGCTGTGACATTCTCTCAAAATTAGTCCTTTTTTGGGGCGGGGGGTTGCGCAAAGTTTTGGGTCTTGCTCTGCGTTCAGAGGAGCTGAGAGAGTTGAGCAGAGGCGGGAACAGGAGGAGACTGGTGAAAGACTAGACTTTGATGGGCACGCTCATTAGTCCTTGCTCATTTTTATTTTTAGGGTTATTTAGACATTAGTCCCTCACTCTTCAACTATTTCATACCAGTCCCTCAAATCTTTGAAATTAACAAATCATAGGGGTCAAAACTCAAAAGAGAAATCTGTGCCATTCTCTACTAATCTTTAAAAGCAATGATGAGGATGGCACAAATGCTGGTGGAAAATTGGACAGAACATTCAAATATGATAAGGAAAGAACAATTTTTCAAAACAGTCCCATTTTTTTTTTAAAATCGACCGATTTTTTTTTATCAAAACCGACCCGTTTTTTGTCACGTCAGCTTAATTACCGTTCTAAATAGTCGGGGTTGTCACCCCGACTATTTAGGACATAAAATTTTAGGGTTTTACGCTTCTAATTGGGGTTTAACGTACTCCTAAATAGTCAGGGTTGACAACCCAGACTATTTAGGAGGATGATTTGGCTGACGTGGTAAAAAACGGATCGATTTTGGTAAATAAAAAAAAAATCGGTCGATTTTAAAAATAAAAAAAATAAAATATGGCTGTTTTGAAAAAATGTTCCATAAGGAAACTTTGTGATTTTCTTTTTAAAAATAAAATTAAACTCGCCAGAAAAGAGTTCGATCGGAAACAGTGTTCCCTATCACCACATAAACATCAGTCTTTATAATTATAGAAAAAGGATTCGAAGTTCATTATGACCCCCATTTATACCCCTCATTTATATTTGGGGAGGCACTAGGGGCACACCATCTACCACACTCTCAACTATACCACCTCTCTTTCTATAGTGCACGGGCCCATATGAAATTTTAATTTTTAAAATCTCATGTGAGCCCGTGCACTGTAGCAAGAGAGGTGGTGTGGTTAGGAATGTGGTAAAGGGTGTGTCTCTATCATTATTTTTATATTTGACGCCTCAAGAATTTGTAACAGAAACCCGAATGCATGATCAAATTCAACCTAAAAAACATATATTCATAAAATGAAGCTCCTAAAGTCTGATTCAAAGGATTAAATTTGAGACAAGGGATTTGCATAAAACCCATAAGATTCCTAGATACATAATCTACATAAATTATACGCACGTGGCAATACCCAAAAGTTCACATATCTTCCAAAAATAATAAAACCAACGCACCTTCAAAAAAGCAAGCGGATGTGAGATAGAGCTCGAAGACGAGCTAGAGAAGTTGAGAGTTTGCAGGTTGGTGGGTTGAATGCGTACATCCAAACTGGATATGTCTGAATACTGTGAGTATATCAAATATTGCATGATATATAACATCTAGAAGAAAGCGTTACGACGACAACAATGCCAAAATCTGTCGACAGAAAAGGGACAACGAATTCATAAGCATATTCACAGAAGGTAATATCTCGCGTAGCACAGACGAAGAGGTTGATACGAGAACACATTTCTTGTATTTTGATAACTTTTACATTATGCCTTGGCTTCATACATGTAAATGCACTTGGACTCGAGCATGGCAAGCTTTTACAACGTCACAGATTCAAAAAGATTAAGTGGACAATGAAATCCTCTATTCTCTCTTCTTAATGCTCATAGATCTCTGCTGCTTGAAAATTAAACCGCAGAACTACGACATAACTTGCATCATTTTCACAAGGTTGTTCTCGATATTATGAAGTATTGGGCCTGTAACAGCACCAAAGAAGAAAGACATCAACTTTTACTTTTAAAAGGAACAATCAGAAAGAAGAAAAGAGAAGGGAGGAAATTTGAGAACAAATACGTACAGGCGTGTGAGATTGTTGTATGAGGGAGTTCGTAGCTTGTTTGCATTCAGCAGAGAGCCTCATGATCTCTGCTGCCAGTGTCTCAGCTCGTGTTTGACCTTGGCAGATCGTACAGAATGCAAACCAATAAAATAGATAATTTGAGAAGAAGAGACTTCCTCCTCTGCTAAAATAATTTAGACAATTGTGATCTCAGGGGTCTGCGAAGAAGCAAAATTAACATATCACATGCTATTTTATAGAACAATTTTTCAAAACAGCCCCATTTATTTTTTTTATTTTTAAAATCAACCGATTTTTTTATTTTACCAAAACCGACCCGTTTTTTACCACGTAATCACCGTCCTAAATAGTCGGGGTTGCCAACCCCGACTATTTAGGACATAAAATTTTAGGGTTTAAGGCTTCTAATTGGAGTTTAACGCACTCCTAAATAGTCGGGGTTAGCAACCCCGACTATTTAGGAAGGTAATTAGGCTGCCGTGGCAAAAAACGGGTCGGTTTTGGTAAATAAAAAAAACCAGTCAATTTTAAAAATAAAAAAATTAAATGAGGCTGTTTTGAAAAATTGTTCTATTTTATATGGCATGCAAATACAATGCATATCGCATCGCATCCTCAAGCATCAATACAAAATGCAAGCATGTCAGTTTGGCATAATGGACATCAGTCTGAAACAATCTTAGCAGCTTCATTTCATGTCTAGAAATTTAACAAACATATAGCAGTTTATGTAATATCAAATAGAAGAATACAATTTGTGAAACCTCTTCCCGTCTTGCTCTGTTTTTGCTAAATATGTTACTTTAAGGTAAGTTTTTGTCCATAGCTGATGTTGTTTAGAATTTGCTTCATATTTTACAAGTAATCATTCTATATCAGTTTTTCGGGACAATCATATCCAACTTAACCCCTAATTATGAAATGCTTGTGTGACGTTGCTATGCTATCAGCTATATTGTTTAGTTAATTACATAAGCATGGGGTCAGTTATTATAAAATCAACAAAATGTTCACAGAATAGCCAGCATTCCATCTTATAACTAAGAAGCTGTTAGGAATATGACGCCTAAATCCCTAATTGCAACGGAAACGCGGTATAGAAAAGTACACCAAGATTTAACGAGGTTCGGCAACTGCCTACGTCCTCGGGAGCCACACAGATAATTTCTTATTAATCAAACAAGAAATTACAAATTTAGGAGCGTATCTCAAAACTGAGATTTCTCAGATAAACACTGTAGCTACAGTGTTAATGATTAAAGGGTATGAACCCTATCAATTATCAACTTGAGAATAAATGAATAACCCCACAATATAAAACCCCTATTTAATTCCCCCTTCTCTCTCTCTTCTTAAATTCCTTTTTCTTAATCTCCCCTCAAAATCAATTGAGCGCTGGAGATGAGAACGCTGCTGCGTTCTTGGTCGCCGCCAGAAGAAAAATCGGAGGAGGGGTAAAAAGCTTGAGCCACCGAAACCCTAGCGGGGGGTTTAAATAGGCGATGGGGGGATGAGCTGGCGACAGCCTGTCGCCAGCGGCCCGCGAACGCAAGGGGGGTGGGTTAACGCAGAGTTCGCCTGGACCTCACCTGCGTCGACATCAAGCTCGTCGGAGCTTCTCGCCGGCGGTCCTCATCGAAATGAGATTTGATCTACATCCCCATTCTAACAATCTCCCACTTGGAGATCAAACCGCCGTCAACATGGCTATCTCATCAAGCTCCTCTCCTGTGTGGCTCCGCCCTCATCATCTTATGCATGAAGGCCAACTGAAGTTGCGCACAACTCCAGTTTCTGAACAGTCACCGTCTTTGTTAACATATCTGCCGGATTCTTACTCCCTGGAATCTTTTCCAGTTTTAACACGTCATCTTCCAACAGGGATCTGATGAAGTGGTACCGAAACGCAATATGCTTCGTTCTAGAATAAAATGCGGAATTCTTAGCCAATTGAATCGCACTTTGACTATCGCTATGCAAAACATTCTTCTCCTGTTTGAATCCCAGCTCTGTCAACAAACCCTGAAGCCATATCATCTCTTTACTGGCTTCAGTCACTGCAACATACTCAGCTTCTGTAGTGGATAGGGTAACGATCTTCTGTACCTGTGACATCCAACTGACAGCTGTAGTTCCAACGGTGAATACATAGCCGGTGGTGCTTCTTCGGTGATCAACTTCGCCACCGAAGTCTGCATCTACGTACCCTTGCACTTCTACCTCTCCCTTACCAAAGTGCAAACACTTCTGTGTAGTACCTCGTAGATATCTCAGAATCCACTTGACCGCTTCCCCATGAGCTTTTCCTAGATTCGACATAAACCGGCTGACCACTCCCACTGCATGGCCAATATCTGGTCTCGTACAGACCATTGCGTACATCAAACTTCCGATAGCTGAGGCGTAAGGAACCTGAGCCATACTCTCTTTCTCTTCTTCTGACTGAGGAGACTGATCCCTCGATAGACGAAAATGGCTGGCCAAGGGTGTGCTCACAGGCTTGGCATCGCCCATGTTGAATCTCTGCAAAACACGGTTGATGTACTCCGTCTGAGATAACTGCAAGATACCTCTCTTCTTATCTCTCGTGATTTGCATTCTAAGGATCTTCTTCGTTGGACCCAAGTCCTTCATGTCAAACTCCTTTGGCAGCTGCTGCTTCAAACTCTTGATATCCTTCATATCTGCTCCTGCAACCAACATATCATCAACATACAGCAGTAGGATGATATAGCTGGACTGATATCTTTTGAAGTAGCAACAGTGGTCGGCGTTGCACTTCTGGAAACCTTCCTTGTGCATAAAGCCGTCAAACTTTCTGTACCACTGCCTTGGGGCTTGTTTCAGGCCATACAAGCTCTTCTTGAGTCTGCACACCAGGTTCTTCTTCTTTTCTTCTGAGAAACCTTCTGGCTGGTGCATGTATATCTCCTCTTCTAGATCTCCGTGAAGAAACGCCGTCTTCACGTCTAACTGCTCGAGATGAAGATCTTCAATTGCTACAATACTCATCACGGTCCTGATAGTATTTAGCTTCACAACGGGAGCGAAAATATCGGTGTAGTCAATTCCTTCCTTCTGCTGGAAACCTTTGACAACCAGTCGGGCTTTATATCTTCTGGAACCATCCTGCTCCTCTTTCACCCGGTACACCCATTTGTTGTGGAGTGCCTTCTTACCCGTGGGCAACTCAGCTAGTTCCCACGTCTGGTTTGATATGAGAGACTTCATCTCATCTTTCATTGCAAGCTCCCACTTGCTCGCATCTCCACACTGACAAGCTTCATCAAAGCTTTCAGGCTCCCCACCATCTGTCAACAACAGATAGTTCATGTATCTCCTGTTGGGTACAGGAGGACGAGAAGATCTTCTTAATATCGGAGCTGGTGCGTCGGGCTCCTGCGCACCATCTTGTCCAACAGGCTCTTCTGGCTGAGGACCCTCTGCATTGGGTTCTTCCGAGAGGTTACTCGGGACATCATCTGCATCTATAAATGTGGACTTCTTAATATCGGAGCTGGTGCGTTGGGCTCCTGCGCACCATCTTGTCCAACAGGCTCTTCTTGCTGAGGACCCTCTGCATTTGGTTCTTCCGAGAGGTTACTCGGGACATCATCTGCATCTACAAATATTGACTCGCTCTCTGAGTCGTCAGTCTTGTGCATGTCCTTGTACATCACCTTCTCATTGAATATCACATCTCTGCTCCGGATCACCTTCTTGTTTTCGTTGTCCCAAATGCGGTAGCCGAACTCATCTTCACCATAGCCGATGAAAGTGCATTTCTTTGACTTGGGATCAAGCTTATTCCTGTCTTGATCACTAATATGCACGTAAGCTACACAACCGAAAACTTTTAGATGTGAGAGTTTTACCTCCTTTCCGCACCATACCTCCTCTGGTATTCTGTGCTCCAATGGAACCGATGGACCTCGGTTGATCAAGTAAGCTGCTGTGTTGACCGCTTCTGCCCAGAACTGCTTCGGTAGGCCTGATTGTACTCGAATGCTTCTGGCTCTCTCTGTCAACGTTCGGTTCATCCGCTCAGCTACACCATTTTGCTGAGGCGTGCCGGGCACGGTTCTCTCCATTCTGATCCCGTGCTCATAGCAGAACTTCTTGAATCCGGTGTCTTCATACTCACCGCCATTGTCGGTCCTGAGCTTCTTTATTCTCAGACCGGTCTCATTCTCGACCATGGCTTTCCATCTTCTGAAAGCCTCAAACACTTCTGACTTATGTTTCAGAAAGTAGACCCATACTTTCCGAGTGTGATCATCGATAAAAGTCACGAAGTAGTGTTTTCCACCAATGGACGCGGTGGTTGTTGGTCCCCACACATCTGAGTGAACGAGCTCTAGCTTCTGCTTCCTGGGGGTTCTGCCACTTGTCTGAAAGCTGACTCTCTTCTGCTTTCCAAGTATACATTCTTCACACATATCCATCTCCACTGACTGCAGTCCTGGGAGTTTCCCCTTTGTGTGCATGATCTTCATCCCCTTTTCACTCATATGACCGAGTCTCTGGTGCCACAGCTTTGAAGTCTCATTGCCTGCTGCAACTGAGATCGAACAACGTGCACCTGCTGTCATATACAGGGTACCAGTCTTCTTGCCTCGGGCAATCGTCATTGCGCCCTTTGAGATCTTCCAATCACCTCCATGGAAGGTTGTGGTGTATCCTTCGCCAGCCAACTGGCCTACGGATATTAAATTCTTTCTCAGGTCGGGAATATGCCTGACATCCTTCAGCTCCCATACTGACCCGTTCAACTTAATTTTCACCACGCCTTTGCCCACTATAGCACACGGTTGATCATCACCAAGATATACGTATCCAAGTTTTCCGGGGGTATACTTCTCGAAGAATTCTTTCTGAGAAGTAGCGTGGAACGACGCTCCTGAATCTAACACCCAAGATTCCTCCTTGCTCTCCAAAGAGCATATCAATGCGTCGTCTCCTCCTGAAGTGGAAGTGACATTCACCTCTGCCTTCGCCTCCTTCTCTTTCTGTGCACTCTTGCACTGATTCTTGTAATGCCCGGTCTTTCCACAATTCCAACACTCGATAGCCTTCGAGCTGTTGCTTGGATTCCTTGATTTGGACCTCCTGTCCTTTGATCTACCTCTGAAGTTTGATTTTCCTCGTCCGTTTCCTCTGGTT